CCATTCTACCGTACACAGTTTTATTTGTTATTAATTTAACAAGCTATTTTACACAACTGTAGGATGCAGTGATCGAAAAAATGAACCACAGTCAGTTGAGCCGTCAAGTAGAAATCCAGAAGATTCATCCTGCAAATAATTTTCAAGTCTATGAAAATACTAACCACGAGAAGTCGAAAAGTGAAATTAATGCCTTCAGTTGTTCGTCTTCACTTCGATTTGAATATTGATTTACTTTTCTTTGTTGCATTTAGAAAGCTTGAAATTTATGGACTGGTAGCAGCAGATAAAAAAAGAAATTTTAGCTCAAGGCCCTCCATTAGACGAGGATCCCGAGGGGAGTGAGGGATTTGCTTTAATCATTAATGGTCATTCACTAGATTACGCTTTAAATGAAAGGTTGGAAAGAACTTTCCTCGATGTCGGATGTATGTGCCAGGCAAGTTTTGATTTGTAATGGTACTTTACTAGCTATAAAAGTTCAATAAAGAGTCGGTAAGATTAAGGTTAGACTAATAAATCCCACTCAAGATTTCGATCAAACCTCGCTCATCATTCATTACATCAAAGTTGTTTTCAGGCAGTAGTTTGTTGTCGCGTAACTCCGTTGCAAAAAGCGCGGGTGGTAGATCTTGTCAAACGACACAAGAAAGCTGTTACACTAGCTGTTGGGGACGGGGCAAATGATGTCTCAATGATTAAAACAGCTCATATCGGGATTGGCATATCTGGTTTATATATAAGCTTGAACCTCAAATTCTGGAAACTCATTTCTTTTATAACAAAATTTTTAGGTCAAGAAGGAATGCAAGCAGTTTTGGCTTCTGATTTCAGCATTGGACAATTCCGATATCTTGAAAGACTGTTATTGGTACATGGCAAATGGTCGTATTTTAGAATGACAAAATTCTTAACATATTTCTTCTACAAAAACTTCTCCTTTACTTTAACGCACTTTTGGTATTCATTCTTCTGCGGCTACTCAGCTCAGGTACATCAGACAAATGCTGATCAATTTCATCCTTAAATCTGTAAGACTAAGCTAATATATAAATTAAACCACTAAAAAATCGAAAACGTCTTTTAAATCCAGCATTTTTTCTGACAGGGCGCCTAAAACGTATGTTCAGAAACTCGCGAGTGTAGCAGTGTTTGAGATAAGTTGGGCAGCAATAGCTGCGTAGAAGTACATTACAAAGCTGCCACATTTGAAATTAGAACTGATAGCACTCAAAACTACCATGATGCCACTGCGCCAAACCTCCCTGACCAGACAACCTTTTAAGATATATATGAAGTAGTGGGGAGCTGCGACTGAGTTGTGGCGGCGCAGTGAAGCATCCGTTCGTTCAGCCCCGTTGCGCCACCGCTGTTCCTCCTTGCCCTTTGGTGCTGCCCCTTCCCACTTTGCTGTTCTCCCCAACCCCGCTCTGTTGGTGCTCCTTCCGCTATTTCCTTCAACTTTCACAGCAAAAAGCAATCAGCCAATTAGTGCGCTGGAGCCGTCAAATTGCAAGATCTCTCTGCCTTGTATTGTCCTTCTGCTTCTGCTCACCTCCCCTATAGTCAATAAGTTGTGGACGGCGCTGTTTAGGGCGCAGCTCTGTCCATCTTATGGCAGTACGCTAATTGTACGCACTTCAAGAAAGTTCTGTTAGTGTTGAAATTGCATGCTACTTTTTGTATGTCGAAAGCCGAAAGTTAGTGATAACAGTGATAACACTTTCAATACAAGTTTTGCAGAATGTGTTTAAAATGTTTTGCAAATTTATTAGTTTTAACAGTTCACAGTTTACTGCACAACTTTATCAGTTCACTACTGCTGTTTTGGTGGAGTGGAGGAGGAGAAGGCTGCAGCCACTTAAACTTCTGTTCTTCTTTTATGCCATAAGTGGACCGTTATTTAGAGATGCAGTCTAAGCATGCTAGCAGTCTGCAAAGCTTCTGAGCTAAAATCTTATCTGGATCCCCCATTCAAGCTTTCAGCTTCTTTCGCACTTGCCAGCACTAGCTTTCGGCCTGCGTAAAATCGCCGCTGCTCAAAGGAATAAGTAACCATTACTTCTTTCCCAATATCATTTCATCTTTCAAAAAAAACCTTAAAATTCATTTTGCTTTTTAAGTGGATAGAGCCTCTTTCAGTAAAGCGCGTCAGGTGCTTATACTTTTAACTGCCACATTACCAAGTACTACATCTTTGACGCTACTACAGCTAATTATGTCTACCCCCAAATATAAGCTTCTAACTTTTGAATTATTTTTATTTTTTTATATTTACAATTCTCCATCTGTCTCAGTTCATTTGGAATAATTTTGCAATTGTTTAATTATTCCTTTCCTGCTTTTTAAAGACTTAATACCGAGACTTGTTAACTTTTTTGCGTTTAAAAACGCCACCTTTGTAACACTGCATGGTGTGATCGGTAAAAATTTTGTTCTACATCTGTGATTTTTGAAGTTTGCAAGTGCGTAAGTCCACCAAGAGCATAAGTTATTAACTTTCAGCACATATTTTCATTATCTACTCTTTTTCATAAGGCCTAAAATAAATTACATTATCACAGTCTTTCAACTATTTAAATAGAATTTATTGGTTTGTTGTATGAGGTGATTGTCGAGGCTACCAAAGAGCCTTTTAACTTTGAAGATTGAACCTTTAAATCCACTTTTCTTGGCTGTTCTATGGGACCTCACTTCTATGGCTCTCACTGTAAGCGCAATTAATCCTTGCCACTCACAGTACCAACTAATTAGCTGCCTGATTTTCTGATATGAGTCTAAAACGTTGTCTAGCCTCTTACTTCCGATGTTAACCACTTTTTTTTTACTTTGCACTAAAGTCGCCAGCCAATGCGCTTAAAACGAGCTTGCTTTAACCTTCACTGTCTTATCTGACCTCAGTGAATCTACGCTTAAATGCCTTGTGAGTGTAATAGATCCCCACACTGAAATAATACAATAGATATAAAGCCAGAGAAAGCCGTCTCAATAACTATTATATACTTTGTACTGTAACCAATAAATTAATAAGAAATAGCACCAACACAGTCATAGTTGTTCATTCTAATTATCACTCAATGAATTTTCGCGACAGGAGCGGAATTACGGTAATGCAGCGGGCCGGTGTCTTTTAAAAATATTAACCTGAGTTCAAACTAGAGCATGTTTGCCTGATTTATACTGAAAGTCTCGCATAGATTCTGATATGCTTCTGTGAGGTTGCTAGATTTCGATGATTTGTCAGGCCATAGTCGAATATTTGCTGAAATGTAACATGGGAGACAATTTCGTTCATTACTGCTTTTATCACATTATTTACGGAAATAACTTTGTATTGCTCTGCAACTGCACCTTTTTTTCTTTTTTTTTTTTTTTTTTTTTTGGTTTTACCAGGTACGTCCTTAAGTTTCGTGAAGTGTTTTAGTAGGAAACCTCTGAGTTTGGAAATATACCAGTTACAAAGAAAGTTAAACTGTCTTGGGCAAAATCAGCTTGTTTTTGTCTTAATCTTTAACAAAATGTTAGTATTCCTGAAGATTTTGCTGTTATTATGTTCGCCATAGCTGTGGCGGAGCTCATTTAGACTGGTGGCCCCATTTTTCTTCTCCGCCCCGGTGGGCAGGGTTCCCAAAGAAACCCTGCTCACCGGGGCAAAGATGGAACCACCAGCCCAAGCAAGGCGCTAGCGAGTGCTTGAGTTAGCGGCAAGCGAGCAGCATACATTTGCTCTACCTGCCGGCATGCAGCATGACTAAAATTTGCTTCCCGAACGATTTCTTTTATAAATATGACCGTTCAAGTGTCGACGGGTTTGCGCGGGAAACTACAGTGGCTCAGAAGTTGACAACTGCACCTCAGGAAGAAATAGGAAGAATGCATGTAGACTGCTGTACACTGTCGAACCAGTACATAATGTGATGCATAAATGATTTAACTGATGTTATGAAGTAGCAGGAGTCTTTGCGCGGGGGAGATTGGGGTACTTGAGTGGTGCTGAGCCATATTGGTTCATTTACCCAATCTCTGACTGACCGAGAGCTGCTGATGTGTGCTTTGCAGACAAAAGC